ATTCTGTCCTGAGCCCTCTACTATTCCATGTTGTCTACTCTCATGGTGACCTTGGTAGATCCCTTTGGTTTAATTATCATCTCTATGCTGATGACTTTAAGATCTATACATCCACTCCTGGTCTCCTTCCCAAACTCAAGCCACAAATCTATCATGAACTACTGAATATTCTCTTTAGGACATCTGATGGACATCTCAAACTCATTGTGTTCAAAGCAGAATTCATTCTTTCCCCATAAAGTCACTCCTCTTCTGAACTCTATTTTGGTCAAGGGCACCATTATTTTTCTAATCATTCAGGTTAATAACCTCAGAATTACTCTCAATGCATTATACTCTCTCACTTCACAAATTTAATCAATTTCCAGATCTTTTCCTTTATATCTCTACCACATCTTTTGCATCCATCCTCTTCTCTCTACTCACAGGGCCACTCAATCATCTTTAACCTATATCCAAAATGTGATAGACTGCAAATTGGTTTCCTGGTCTCCAGTGTCTTCCCATTCCAATCCACCTTCCATACAGCTGCCAAAGTCACTTTCCTAAAGCGTTAAGTCTGATTGTGTTATTCCTCTATTCGATAGATTCCCAAGGATCCTAATTATCTTTAGCAGTAAATATAAACTCTTCTCTTTGGCTTTAGAAACACATTCTTTCTCAAACCTGAGTCCAATTTATCTTTTTAACCTTATTATATATTGCTTCCTTCATTCTGCACACACACAATAATCTATTTTTGCCTCTCAGCCTTTTCAATGGTAATTCCCATGGCTAGAATATAATGCCTCCTCATATAGCTTTTAAGAATCCCCTTTTTTCATCAAAGCTCAACAAAAGTTACACCTTTTCCACAAAGCCTTTCTTTATCCATATCCCTCATCTCTTAGTACCCTCCCCTCCAAATATTTCTCCTATTTATTTTGTATGGTATAGTTGATTTTGAAGTTCAGAAAACCTTAGTTCAAGCCCTACTTCTGACATATATTGACTGTGTGGCCTTAAGCAAGTCACTTAACTTCCAGGTACCCCAATCAACCCTCTAAACAATGACCAACAGCTGTCTGAGCACCAAATATGACCCACATCCAGGTTTTGTATGGCCCACAAATTAAGGATGGTTTTTACATTTTTTAATAAAATAAAATTTTATTTTAAAATGTAAAAACACTCTTAGCTCACACACAATTGCTGACTCCTTCTATAAGACTATGAGTTGAAAAGCAGTTGCCAATCTGCAAAGGCTGAGAGAATTTCTCACTGGAAACTCCTTATGTCATTGAATTTAAAGGTTTGGTCAAACCTCTTCTAGTGAAAAACAACTCAAAAAATAAAATAAAATAAATACTAAACAAAAAAAAAGATAAAGAAAAATAACTCTATTGATGCAGGTCAGCACCTTCATTAAAACTTAAAAGTTGAAAAATTACCAAGGTATTAAAACATAATATAGAATGATGAAATCTCAGAATTACTTCAATCCAAACAATAGACTAATAATAACAAATTGTTGAATGTGAACCATATGCCTTTAAAGAAGAGACTAAGATGTAAATTGTGTTTACCTAACATTGAACATCCAAATACTAGAAACTTTCTGGGTGCTTGATGTAATTGTTCAATGTTCATTAGGGCATCTGGTTTCAAAGACACTTAAAAGTGTGTCTCAATCAATCCAATAATTCATTTAGTAAGGCCTATTTTATGCTGGCCATAGTACCATGTAAAAGACAAAAATTAAATGGTCCCTTTCCTTAAGGATAAATAAACAAATCAATAAATGTAAAATATATGCAAAGTAAATATGAAGTAATTTTGGTGGGAGGGGAAAATCCCTTCACTTTTCAATAAACTCTAGTATCTCTATTATCTCTAGGATAAAGGAAGAGTTTGGCATTTAAATCCTCTCATAACCTGACCCCAGCCTACCATTTCATCCTTATTACATATTGTTCCCTTTCATATACTGTGCAGTCTAATCAAACTAGCTTCTTTACCATTCCACATACAAGACACCCTATTTCCTGTCTCTTGGCTTTTGTATTGGTTGTTCCCCATGTTTGGAATACATTCCCTCCTTTCCTTTACTTCTTAGAATCCCTACTCTCCTTCAAGAGTCAGCTTAAGTTTCCCTAGAAGGCCTTTCCTGCTCCTCCCAACCCCCATCTCCATATATCTATTTTTCCTGGTCCAGGTTTGTTGGGCAATTGGCATCCATTGCTTAATAAAATTATGTGCTTGGAAGATCAAACCTTTGTTTCCTCGATCATTTCACCTTTCACCCACCACCTACGACATATGTATATATTGCAATAGAAATAGAAATGTAGGCTCCTTTGGGCAGGAATTGTTTCACTTTTGACTTGTTTCTCAACATCTAGTATAGTAGCCATAGTTGGTACTTAGCAGTGCTGGTGTTTGATTGATTATGATAGCGTAAAATAGATAGGGCAAGAACTGATTTATTCATTTTTGCAGCCTTTATAGAGCCCTTCATACTTAAGAGTGTTTGCTGAATGAATGAAGCTTTATTTTGCCACTGGACTTTCATGACTGTGGAGAAGGGAAGTGAGGCTAATGATTATGCACAGCTCTGCCTTACTTAAATCCAATTCCCTGAGAAGTCAAGACATCACTCTCGTGATGTTATTGGACCTCTTTGGGAAGAATAACAACTTTGTGCCCCTAAGTAACTTGATTCTGTTTGCCTCAGGCAACTCCCTGGGGCTCATCTTCTAACTCTTAAAGGGTTGCATTGATTGTAGGAACTCCCACACCAAGAGTCCCCCCTTGGCTAAAGAAATCACAGATCCTTCAAGTCTTCCAGTAAATATGATTGATAGTATATTGGAAGTCATGGTCTAGTCAGTCTGTAAAATGGCCATTTCATAGCTAACCTTTAAAATTAAAAGTTATATCTCTAATTAATTTAAGACAGGGTATTTCTTCAGAATTGCAAAGGCAATGATGACCCAGGAATACAATAGCATGAATAATTCACTTTATGTATAATATGGGTACCAGAAACACATGATAGGCAGAGCTTTATTTTTATTATTGTATGACTTTGTAGATCAATTTCTCTGGCTTTGCCACCACTCTGGTGCAGGCCATCATCCTCTCATGCCCAGACTACTGCAATAGCCTACCAGTGGGCTTGCCTGCTTCAACTCCCTCCTCATTCCAATCCATTCTCCATTCAACTACTAAAGTGATTTTCCTAAAAGGTAGGTCAGATTATTTCTCCCTCCCCCTTCCCAAGAAGCTCCAGTGGCTCACTATTGCCTGCAGGAGAAAATACAAAATGCTGTTTTTGGCATTCAAGCCTTTCATATTCTAGCCCCTTCCTATCTTTCCAGTCTTCCGTACACCTTATTCCCTAACACACAGTCTTTCATCCAGGGTCAATGGCCTCGTGGCTGTTCTGCAAATAAGACACCTCAAATGGCTCAGGGCATTTTTTCTGGCTTTCTCCCAAGCCTGGAATGCTCTCCCTCTTCTGCTCTGACTACTGAACTCTCTGGCTTCCTTTAAATCCCAGCTAAAATCTTACCTTCCACAGGAAGCCTTCCTAACCTTTCTTAATTCCAATGCTTTCCTTTTAACTATTTCCTATTTATCCTGTATAAAACTCACTTTGTATATATTTGTTTGCATGTCGTCTCCTCGGTTAGATTGTAAGCTCCTTGAGGGCATGGATTTTTTTTTCACCTTTTTTTTTTCCTATCCCCAGCACTTAATATAGTGCTTGGCACATAGCTGGTGCTTCACAAATGTTTAATGATTGATTGATTGACCTCAGTTTCCTCATCTGTAAAATAAGAGGGTTGGATTACATGAACTTGAAGGTCTGTTCCAGCTCTAAATATATGATTCTATTAAAAACTCTTCCTATGTATAAGGGAAATATCATGGTTGGCTTTTTGGTAGTACCATTCATAATTGCTTTATAGTTAGAATACTGGCTAAAGTTCATTGCAATTTTCAAAAATTCTTCCCTGGATATCAGTCCATTATACATGCTGTTTCTTCCTATGAGATCATAAGCTCCTTGAGGACAGGGACTATCTGGTTCATTTGTATTTGTATCACTGGTGCTTAACACATTACCTGGTACAAAGTTAGTACTTAAATAAATGTTGTTATTTTTTTTTCATTCAGTTAGGAACAGGCTTATGTAAGAGATAATGTATAAGCTGAGCCATGAAGGGAACTAGAGGTCCCAAAGATGAGGAGGAAAAACATTCCAAGCAGAGAGAGGGACAGCCCATGTACAAATATGGGGTCAAGAGAAGGAACGCCAAGTAGGAAGAAGATCACGTGCCCCAATATGGCACTGTCTTAGCAGACTACCAAGACATGTCCCAGTCTTAGTTCCATTTGTGGCTGTGACTATGCATTTTACATAGCACAAGGCCGGTAAGAGCATTCTCATTCAAGTTGCCTTGAAATGACTCTGAATGAATAGCCTAAAGTCCAAAACCCTCTGTAACCAATTATTAATTATCTGAGTCATTGAAGAAAGTTATTCTCAAAGTTTCCAACAAGGTTCTAGCATTTTTAAGAGGTCCTTAAAGAGGTCTTTAAATAGCTCAGGAAGTTAAAGAGGAGAGAGAAAAATATGCCAGAAATTATACTTAGTGAAAATGACAGGCTTAATACCCCAGGGACTGTGTGTCCACAGTAAGGTTCACGTTTGAGAGGACAAAAACCGATCTCCTGGAAGCAGAGAGCTGATTTTTTTTCAAAAATGGATGAATGTTGCCAGGAAGTTCTGGTTTTGATGACAAGGACTGAGAAAGCATTCACAGTCTTCAATTCAGTCTTATTATTATGTATTTTTGGAGGGTGAAGGTGGAGAGGGGGAAGGGGAATACTAGTCTTCTCTGTGTTTCTTTGTCATCCAGGGAGAAAACTTTTGGCTAACAGCTACCAATAGAAAATCATGTAACAGCATAGACATTAGTGAGAATAAAACAACAAAAAGAATAGTTCCATACCCATTACTTCCTGCTGTGTGAACTTTTGACATATCAGCAAACTCCTCTGTGCGCTTGCTACTGCTGGCATACTGTTCACTGTATAGCTTTAAGGACATCTGTTCTACAGCATCCCTTTGTGCTTCCAGGTAGCATAACTGAACCTCAGCCTAGAGAGAGAGAGAAACAAAGAGGAAACACTCTTTTAATCCAGAAGGAATTCATTTCAAGTGAGCGCTTTGGCGGGAGCTTTGCTGGGTAACAACTCAAGACACAGAAATTGTTCACATCATTAGACCTCTCTTTTCCTGGTTGGATTTAATAAGATCAGCTAGATGTAGTATAGAATTATGTTTTAGATCCAAACCATATATGTTCCTCTTAAAATATGACCTGAATAAATGAAATGAACTCTCGAAAGACACAGTAAATGACACAATATCCCTGAAATCATAACACTGTATGACTTAACATAAAAATTCAGTGAAAGTCCAATAATATTCTTGCTCATATTTTCATGGATGTAACATTTATTTTTTACAGATGCTTATCCAACCAACATACTTGCAAAGTTCACTCACCTAGTCAAGTTAACAAATATTTGTTAACACATTCTATATGTCAGGTACCGTGGTAAGTGTTAGAAATACAAGCCAAAGCAAAGACATTCCCTACCCTTGAGGAGCTTATATTCTAGTAGGAAAAAACAACACATTAAAAAATAAAACTGAAAATGAAAGTGCTTGAGAAGAGAGAAGGAAGCCAGAGAGGACATGATTAAAAAAAAAAAAAGGAATAAATAAAAAAAAGAAGAAGTCCAGAGAGCCAGGAGCAGAGACCATAGAAGAATGACTGTATGAAGCTGGTCACTATTCTTAAAATGCAGATTCTGACCAATTAGAGAAAGGGTGTACGGGTGAGGAGAGATCTTTCAGGGTGAGAAAGCCACTTTCTTATTACCTTTTCTTTTTAGAATGGAAAATATTGCTTAATTCTAGTTACATATATATCTTCAACTATGATAACCCAACTACCTTCCTTCATTTAAAAAAAATCTCTATATCAATGTCTTAATAACTTTAAATACAACGATATGAGAAACATTAGTGTTGTTTGCATTCTATAATTATAATTCTATCATTCCAGAAAGAATTCAGAAAATAACAGTAAAGGGGACCTGAGGACTGGGGCACTATTATCCACAACTTGGAATTAAAACCTGATTACAATAACAAGCTGCTAAAAATAAAATAAATCAAAAAATTAAAAATGAATAAACAAAGGAAAAAGAACCCAATCATTCTTGCTTGAACTTTAACTCTTATTTTTTCATTGTTACTCAGCACTCCAGTACTCATTAGAGAAAAGAAATAGCAGTAAGTTCACCATGCTGGTTTCCATCAAATGATGAGTCTGACCAAAAGAATGCTGAATAATATTTGGCATGAATACTTATGGCACTGATGCTTTATTTATTACAGCTGTGGTGATCAGATTGCTTTAGGAGCTCAGTAGTATACCAGATGATATTGGGAATAAAGTTTTCTTAAAGGCATGCTTACCCATGGGTAATGGAGGGAGGGAGGTCAATTTGTAAAAAGAAGGCTAAGTTTGTATATACTCTGGGGCCCAAAGCACTGGTATTTTTTTTCCTGAAACAGATTCTATTAATAATCAAACATGCCCATTACCATTTCTGATAGCCCATAAAAAAAACTATTACTTTTTGATTTAATTGTATATTCCCCTAAGGAAAATAGGACTGGGACAGCTGTCCAAGTATGTATTACCCTGAATGTGCTAACATTCAGATGGTTGCCATTTTCTTGTTTTCCATAGATACTCAAGTTTAAATTCACCAAAATTCATGGGACAGTTATTCTAGAAACAATGAGTTACTTTACTAAGCTTTATTAAAATTGAATTAAATAAGGTTTTTTGTGTCCTTTCAATGCTACAATCTATGGAAATCTTTCTCATACAATTGAGTTAGCTTGGATGAGAGCAAAATCACTGAAATTCTGAAACACCATAGAAAAAGTATAGTAATATGTGGTAATATACTCAGTTAGCAGGAAGTGTGTGGTGGGAAGGCACAAGGGTCAATGTTAGATTTGGTCTTAGTTAACATTTTTATTAATGATCTGCAAGAAGAGGTTAAGCCGCATGTTAATGAAATGTGCGGAAGATTCTAAGTGGGAAGTTTTGCAAACATTATGGAAGATGAAGAACTAATACCAATGGACCTAAAAAGATTAGAAATATGGGAAAACTTTAAATGATAAATCCATAATAAATTTACTTGGTGACATTAAATACATGTATATACGTGTATATGTAATAGTCACAAAACACTTAGCAATGATGAACTAAAAAAACTTAATGAAAACGAGATTAGAATAAGACATTGAGCAAAAAGGACACTACATTTAAAAACCGTATACACACAGGGGAAAGGGAGAAGGAAACATTTATTAGGAGCCTATTATATGCCAGGTACCATGGTAAATTCTTTAAAAAACGTGCCATTTGATCCTCACAACAACCATGGGAAGTAGGTACTATTATTATCCTCCTTTTTTAATTAAGAAAACTGAGGCAAACAGAAATTCAGTGATTTGCTTGAGGTCATACAGTTGGTGTCTGAGGTCCCATTTGAACTCAGATCTTCCAGATTTGAGTCCTGGTACTCTATCCATTGAACCACTTAGCTGCCACCATACAAAAGGAATACAAAACATTAAGGAGTTAGTCTCTTATTCAACAACCAGTTAGAACAACACAATCATGCTAAGAAGGTCAAGTTTCACAGCAGATTCCTATGGATGTCATTTAACTCTTGTATAATAGACTGTACCAATAAACCTTCTTAGACATCTCACAAATATGTGTCATCAGTCATAATGAGGATCAAGTGAAAGAAATGGTAGATCATTGCAAACTCATCACTATTATTGAAAAACTCTCTAACAATGGTAAGTTGAAAAGAACTTTTTATGCATGGATGACATATAAAATGCATAATCAATCAGTCAATAAACAATAAGCACCTACTGTGTGCCAAGTACTGTGCTAAGTTCTAGGGATACAAAAAGAAGCAAAAAGATAGTCTCTGTCTTCAAGGAGCTTACAGTCTAATGAGTTCAGGAAGGAATAACCAAGAGGAATGACCACAAAATGATGAAGATGATGAGAAGAAAATAACTTATATTATTTAATTGGCAAATTCAAAACAAATACTCTAGGAAAAAGGCACTAGGTTAAGTCGGAAATGAATTAAATTGTTCAGGCAATGTCTGTCACCATTTCTATTTTTCTTGGAGTCCATGATAATAATTGAAACATAGTAGTTCCCTTAATAAAGTTGAATGGCTTTGTCATTCTAAATCTTTTTGTAACATTTGTCAGCTTTCTCTTATGCTAGTTCTTAGTTCAAATATGATTTCTGAGAGAAATGCTTAACAACCCTTAAAAAGAAGAAACACAACTTATAACTGAATGTATTTAACAATAGAAAAAAAATTTAATTTACTTTTAAAACTTGTCATGTGAAAATTTGACATTACAACAACAAATAGAAATAGACAAGGGAACAAATATCCTTTGTGATAAGTGGGTTTAACTTACTGGTTTTTTTCTTAATAAACCTAATTTCAACTTAATTTTATTTACCCACAGTCTTAACTTATAGGGATATTTATATTTAATTTTAAGCTATAAATGTGTTCCTTCCTATTTCAAACAAACTTAAGTGTAACCCTCGAAAAGTTCAAAATTAAATTTTATTTCCCTTTTTATTCCTGAAAAGCAATTATTCCAATTCTGTGGCCCTTTTGGCCTGAATGATACAGAATGTCTACTTTTACTAAGTGGATTCAATACCTTGTTTGTCTTGGTTCTTTTGTATACTCCTTAACCAAAACCAGTAGTAGGCCATGCCATTAGTTGAAATGGTTATTTTAGGCATTAGAATGAGGGTTACCACATTTTTAATCCTACATAATCAACTATTACAGCAGAAAAAAAAATGAATGGAGATTGATTAGGAGATAACACATAGAAAGAGATATATCCTTGCCCTAAAAAGCAATGACCTTAACAAACTAATTTTAACATTTTTTTTCCTGTAACAGTGAACAATGTATTTTTGTCTACTTACATACCTTTGAAAATCAAATAATAGATTTGCTTAGTGAACTACTAGAATTGTGAGATAAGAATCAAAACCTTAAAAATTTGACCTTTTTTCTCCCATTACTCAAAGAAAGAAAATCTTTGCAATGTTACATATAATGCCTCATCATACCACAGAAGTGACCTTGGTTTCTCTAAGGCTATGCTAATGAAGGACAAGTTCTGGATGATTCTACAAGGCTGTAAAAGCTTCAAGTATGGTCTCAACAATCCACTATATCTTATGTGTAACAACTAGCCTAGATAAATATGAAGAAGTGCAACAGCAGCAGGCTAGCCATCATATAAGTGATTTGGCCATGGAGAATAACTGAACAGATAAAAATGTAGAATTGCTCTCAGTCTTGTGCCAGCATCTACTTTTGTGGTGACGGAAGCAGAATAGTGAAAAAGCAAGCAGAGGGTGCTAAGAATCACAATTTTTAGACCAGATACAAAAATTAAGCTAAGTGTGAGAACTTTGTTATATTACCAATGAGTCTACTAGAGGAAATAACTGTCACCACAAAAAAAAATTCTGATGACAAATGAAAGTAGAAGATTAAGGCTCATAAATTCTCAGGGATGCAAACGTCCTTGCTGTTTGTCCTTCATTCTCAAAGAGAGCCAATGACATCAGGAGGGTGATGTCTTGACTTGCAAGTGAATTGGATTTCAGTGAGGCAGGGCAGTGCAAAGTCATCTGTCTCACTCTGTCTTCCAGGGTCATCTGAATCCAGTGGTAAAACAAAGGTCAGGATGACAGAGAAGACCTCAGATGTAGTGGGATATCTTGGCCTTTTTAAGATAAAGTCTTTCCCAGGTCTCAGTTTGTCTGAGGCAACACCATTCAGTTAATAAAGGCTAGAAAATAAATCAAACTGGGAAGATGAAGACTCTCAGAGTTTCTGGCCAGAACATAAACAATTGCTGTTTATACTCACTCTGAGCCATCAAAACCCAAACAATGATCAAATGAAGCTTGGTCTAGGATCTA